CTGCCTGTAGCTTTGAAATCATCGCTCCTCCTTGTCTGCCTCATGGTGTCAGGCTGTCTCCAACGCTGTCTGTCCCTACCATATGTTCAGTCCTGCTTTCTGCTTTTTTATTTCTGCCCCATGGGTTTTCTTGCTGGTGTTAATCTGCACGCTAGTGTTTGTTTGCTTGTCTCTTACCTCCCAGTTGTCAAACCTTTTCCTTATGTTGTCTTTGCTATTACCCGTAGGATATCTCTTCATCCTTTCTTTGTTATAACAATCTTAAAAGTCCTGCAGCCAAACATCATTGAGACCCTCTTCCAGATTTACAGACATTGCAGCAAGACAAGAACTACATCAATGAATAAAAATCTGAATCTGGCAGGAAAAAATTATGTGTATTTTTATGTTTTAGACTATTTTGTTCACACAAGAGAAAACATTAACCAGAGATGACAAATTTACTTCTGATGGCTTCAACTTAATAAGTTCTTGCTTCCAGCATTTGTGAAGATGTGTTACTTTCTTCCTTTTTTTAAATGCAGTGTTAGTTTTACACCAGATGTCACTGACCTCACACCTTCCAAAAGTTCTCCCTTTGTCTCTTTTTAGATCATTTTTGGAAAGTGTGAGCTGTATTTTCACCATGGAAAAAATGAACTTCTTCCCATCCCATCCACTATTTGCCTTATTGTGATTGTTAACAGTAAGTAATGTATCCCTTTATTCCAAATAAAATGTATTACTGACAGAAGAAAAAGGGAAAAAGAAGATCTTCAATGATGCAATGTTTTCCTCCCATCTCTTCCTTATTGTTGAATCCTGATTTCTCTGAGATGTTGCTCTGGGTTCTTTCTGTCTTTAGAACATTATGCATTGCTTTTTGAGATATTTTAGCCTACTTCATGTTGTCAGACAGGTGGTATTGAAGTAATTTATTAATTCGACAAGTCTGGTGCTAATCAGGCCCAGATGAGGCTAGTGAAAACTATTCCAATGTTCTAAATCCTGTTAATTCAGTTATTCATAATTAATAAGAGGGAGAGTTACTTTATAAAAAAACAATGCTAGGTTGGCTTGAGTATATTTTCTTTTTTTATGTCTGCTCTGTCTTCTCAAGCCCCAGTGAGTCATGACAGATACCTGGTCATACAGAGTCAGGTTCTGTTGTTTTTTTTTTCCTGTTTAAAGGGAGTTTTCCTCTCCACTGTCGCTACATGCTTACTTTGTATGAGGATTGCTGTAAAGTGACTCATGCAATCTGCTAAATTTACAAATTGGCTAAATGAAATGAACTTAATATAGGTAATTTAGGTTTACTTTAGTGTCTTGAGACGACCCTTGTTGTGATTTAGCGCTATATAAATAAAACTGAATTGAATGGATAAAAAGTTAATTGTGAATTAACTCAGGTCATCTTTATATTCCATTGTTTGTAGATCTAAAACAAATGTTCTTTCATTTATTTGATTGTCCTCTATCTCCTGCACTTTCACTAGCCTGCACGTGTCTATAGCAGTATTTAAAGGAGACATAACATGAAAAACCCACTTTTTTATCCATTAACACAGTGTGTTTCACATTTTAAGTGTCTAAGTGAGCAAAAAGGCTTATATTATTCACTGGAGTTGCTATTTAGATATTTAATAATTAAGTTTTGGGCATATTTGTCCACCCGTTCAGTTTTTACATTATCCATTACGTCAGTAATTAATTTAGTCAGGATAACTACCAAATATGGTAATGGCCCTCGGCTAAACACAGAGCCAATCCGCCATTTTTTCTTCTCGCTAAGATTTTTTGTAGTCCTATTGGAAAAATGCAGAATGTCTGGTTATTTTAGCCACACACAGCTCAAAACTGTTCCTCGTTTTAAGGAAGGGTGGTGTGGCAGTATTTAAACCCAGGAGCTGATGACACTACTGCTAAAAAAACACAGAAGAAAAAGTAGTGTGTTTGTGTTTGTGTGTGTGTGTGTGTGTGTGCGCGCGCGCGCGTGGTTCGTTCGTTCCTGTCTCCAGGCTAGTAAGTACTGAGGGCTTCATCTATCTAAAAGGAGTCATTTGCATCTGAATGTGGCAGCACCGGGACACAGCAGCAGAGCGGTAAGCTTCATATCACTCTAAAATGTCGACAAACTTTACTTTAGATTTACGGGCATTAGCAGCACTAAAGCGTTAGCATCCGGCTTGCTATCGCTAGCACAGTATGCTAGTAAAGTTAGCACCCAGATCAATGTGGATTTGGCTGATTTTCGTGGAATAAAACGTGATTTCTGATCAACGCCTTCTTTTACACCAGATGATAACCTCCCACTGATTGTAGCAGCAGAGAGCCTGTGTGTTATTCTACATGAGTGTGATGTAATCTTAGCATCCAGTAAATAAAGTCCCATATCAGCTAAAATGCAGCGTGACAAAGTCATTAAAGTGCGTCAACACAGTGGATTTAATAGTTTTAAAGAACAATCTCTGAGTGGAGTGAGGTTAGTTTTTTGTCTCACTGCAGATATAAAAACTAACTTTATCAGTCAAACGCAGCAAAGCTCACCGTCTGTATGAGCGTGAGCGTCGGAAAGCTGATAAAATCGGCTGTAAAACAAAAGTAAAAATGCTCCTTTGCTTTTTAGAGTCAACATCCAGAAGACTGGAGCCGTGTTTCACTGACAGGCTGTCAGACTAAAGCCCTGATGAGCTCAGCTGGGACAAACTGGTCTGATGTTTAGGTAAGTGAAGATCTGCTTCTCCGAGATGCTAGTAAAAAATAATTTAGCCAGCTTGCTAATGTTACTTTTCTTCTCCTCTAAGGAACACAGAACGTTCAGATGTTGGCATTTCACGTCACCTACTGAGGAAGGAGACCCACCAGTAAAGAGATGGTCTGGACCAGACCAAAGTGAGTGATGACACACCTCAGCCACCCTCATCATTAAGAACACCTCACCCCCTGAATCACTCCGTCTGATGACAGCAGAGTGATTTATTTGATGTTTTACTTGTTTAGTCTGTTTAGAAATTATTGAATTACATTATTTTCTGTAATCGACCATCTGATCTGGATGTGTGCAGAATAACTTTCCCCAAATTCAGCAGCAGCTAGCCTGTAAAAACAGCTGCAGCATGTAGTAATTATGTCTGCACTGCTCTCTAATGAGCTTCCTTTCATAAGGAATCATTTGTATAATTTTAGTGTCACTATTTTATTACATTTGTAAGAATATGAAGTCACTGCAGCAAAGTGAACTTGTGAACAAACACAAACGTGACTATAAACATGAAAGCTAAAGAAACAACTTTCCTAAAGCTGCTTGTAAACAAAATATGTCATTAAAGTTATCGTCTATCATTGCAGAATATGGCGATGACATCATGGAACTGGTCTTTGGAAAAGTTTTCCCTGAACCAACTCCGTTTCTAGATGAGGTAGAGAAGATCTGCATCTCACCAACTCTCTGGTCTCAGTATTCAGACAACGGAGGTCTCCCACTGTTATCCAGGACCAGTTTGAAGCCCACATACTGCCCCTCCCTCATCATCAGGAAACATCAATCCATATCCTGAGGACAACAGAAGACGGCAGGAGGACAGGAACTCTGAGACCTAGATACCACCAGCACCGAGACACAAAGCACCTGTGTGCACAACGCCTGTTTAACTACTAAAGCCTGTTTATTATATTGTTCTACTTATTTGCTGTGAGGTTAATACTTAGAACATTTGTATATTAATGTAAACAATTTAAAAAAATCACTGATTGTATGTTTTCTTTTAGATGTAATGGTCCAAACTCAGCCTTGTAGACATTTATTGCATCCTGTAGGTAAATACACAGAACAGGCTCAGATTCAGGATGACCCAGCATGCTCTTCTTCCATTCTGGCTGTTAGGGATTGTATCAATAACTCAATGCCTACTGATGTTTTCACCTAACGGTATTTATTTAGAATGCAGGTAAGATTTAACTATATTTGTTAGCAAAGCAGACTGATCCTGGGAATTTCACTGCAGCACTGATTTCCACCTCTCTGTACACATTAGAGAGAATTACCACTTTTCAGCTAAACACATTTAATAAAGATATAGGCTACGCATTGCAGACAATAAAAACAAAGTTGTAAGCATTAGAATTATAATGATCACATTAAAGAACATTTGGAGGAATGTTCTTTATTTTTGACTCGAATCTCAAATCTTTAAATTAAAATGTAACTGCTTTTTATCCATTTTCAGCCATTAAGACACCCAATATAAAATAAGACTACTTATAAAATTATTTATAATTATATGTATGTATATATATAGATAGAGATCTTAATAAAATGTATTCTTTTAATGGTGTTTTAATGAGCTGTATCATTTTTTAAAACATTTTTTATAGAAATAAATAAGCAAGCAGCATTCCTTGTGTGTGTGTGTGTGTGTGCGCGCGCGCGCGCGCACGTGCCTGCTAGCTGGTCCCTCCGTCGGCAGTGACGGGTGTGTGTGTGTGTGACTACAGACAAATGCATGAGAGAGTTAGCAGCCTTGAAACAGCTTGATGAACTACCCTCCCCACATGTTTTAAAAATGCTAATATGCTATGCTAAATCTGCTATGCTAAATAATGATTTCTCTATAGAACTACAAAGTCCGGCTGGGGGAGGAGAGTACAGGTCTGCACTATGGAGGGGGGCGGAGTTTACAGCTCCTCCTCCAGTTTAAAGAGACAGTACCCAAAACGGCTCGTTCTCAAGACTCTCCTCAGAACAGGGGTAGATGAGGGTCTGTAGAGCAACAATAATGAGGAAATCAGACCAAAGAACTGCAGTTCCACTGTATTTAGACCCCCAACTGAATGATTTAGATGTAAAAAGGAATAACTTAAAAGCATGTTATGTCTCCTTTAAAGGCTGGAAATCAAACAGCTCGAATAATAAAACTTTTCAAATTTATTTGTGGTTTTTTTTTCTTGCTAACTTCTCGATGGCGGTGTGGGCGTGGCCAAGAGTGCTGTTAGGTTTTAAAATCCACACGTGGTCTCCACCCACCTCTTCCTCCGTCTTGGGCTTGTTTAGCAGCGCGTGCACTCACAGCTAGAAACTTCTGACCAAACTCATGCCAGCACATTGCACCCCTCCACCGCAAAAGGGGTAGAAGGGAGCAAACACGGGATCGGATATATCGTCAGAACAATCGTATAAGATGCCATCTCACCCTTTCAACGAGTACCCTGACCTAGAAGAGATGATGTGCAAGGTAAAAACGGAAAAGTGCTAAAGAAAGTTGAGCGGAGCAGAAGTTAGCTCGCTACTCTCGGGAGGGTGGCGCTGCTAGCCTGCTAGCTGAAAACTGTTAGCTGCCGTGTGTTTACAGATTTTCTGCCTTGGTTATCGAACATTAAAGTTAGTATTTGGTCGTATCTGCTCGTCTTTACCGCGTTTCACATAGCTAACATGAACCCGACGCTAAAACGTCTGTGTTATGGCGGCCTATCGAGCTCTCTAACAAACAAGTTTATTTTGCACAAATTTAGTTATTATGCCAACTCAAAACGGAAACGGCGTTACTTCCACTTGTTAGTCCTTATCTTCGTTTAAAGTTGCGGTTAAATCGTGTAGAAAAGGGAGAATTTGAACCAAAACAACTTTTCCGCTTGATACTACAAAGTTGTCAAGCAGCTGCGCGTAGCAACGAGTTTAGCTGCAACACACTGCAGCTTTTTATCTTAAGCTGCAAGGTCAAGAAAGTTAGTTTTTAACCAATTTGCGCAAGCTTCAGCTTCTGTCCTGAAACTAAACTAGAAAGCAAACCCCCTCCACAACATGGCACCTTTAAATTCTCCCTTTACAGTTGGTTCTCTATAAAGTGTTGATATTACTGGTTATTTGGGTGAATAAGTGAATAACTTTGCACGTCCTGGGTGTTAATTTCCATTTAACAAACTTTAGAGAAGTTGGGAGGTTTAGGTCAGAAATGTTTACTCTTAAACACACATTGAGAAGGCCGATATATCATATTAATACCTCAAGTTGGAACCATTGCTGATTTTGCCTACAGCTGGGTTACTAAATCCCCCATAAATAGCTGTTCACCAGTTAAGAGCTGATGAACTTGGAAACATAACCAAAAGAACAACTGTATTGATGCTGTTTAACAAGTATATTGTTTAACCCTTCTTAATGTCGTAGCCTTCAGACAGACTGACTTCTGTGTTTGTGTCATTTTCCCCAAAAACCAGTATCATATCTCCAGTCTGTTTATACACATGTTGCAAACAAAAACAGTAGCAGCTGCCTGTTATTGAATACTGGTGACAACACTGTCTGGTAATTATAAACATTGTTGCAAGCAGGATTATATTTATAAATGTTATTTCGGGCGACGAGTTGAAGCTCCTGCAGCACCAGTTTTCCAGGCCAGTGAAGGCTGACACTAAATCAACACCAGAGCCAATATGGAAGGGGAGATTTTGGTAACATTGGGAAAACTGAGATTGGGCTCTTGGAGCACCACAGGGGACTGTACTCACTATTCCTTTTCACCCTGTACACCTCAGACTTCCAGTACAAATCAGACACCAGTCATCTACAGAAATACTCAGATGACTCTGCAGTTGTCGGGTGTATCAGAGATGGACAGGAAGCTGAGTACAGAGAGCTGGTGCAGCGCTTTGTGGCATGGTGTGGAAACAATCATCTGAACTTGAATGTGAACAAAACAAAGGAGATGATTTTAGACTTCAGAAGAAACAGGGTGGAGTCAAACACTGTTTCCATCATGGCAGAAGAAGTGGAGGTGGTTGAGGAATACAAATACTTTGGAGTTCACCTGGACAACTGACTGGACTGGAGAAAGAACAGTGAAACCGTTTTACAAGAAGGAGCACAGCAGACTGCACTTCTTGAGGACGCTTAGGTCCTTCAGTGTCTGTAGCAAGATGCTGCAGATCTTCTACAAGTCTGTTATTGAGAGTGTAATCTCTTCAGCCATCGTCTGTTGGGGTAGTAGCATCAGAAGCATGGGCCTGAAAAGGCTCAACAGCCTAATAAAAAGGCTGGTTCTGTTCTGTGGACGACTGTGGAACCACTGGAGGAGATAATGCAAAGAAGGATTCTCCAGAGAATCAAGAAAATGATGGACAACCCTGAGCATTCTCTTCACAAGACTGTCCGACAACGGAAGAGTGTCTTCAGTCAGAGGCTTCTTCAGTTTCGCTGCAACACTCACCGCTACTGGAGATCCTTCCTGCCAACAGCCATTGTAATATACAACAACTCTTTGACGACTTGATTATTATTATTATTTTGAACTACTACAGCAATCAGTTTCCCTCTGGGATTAATATGGTATTTTTGAATTAAGTGGTGCTGAAAGTATTTAAGACAAGAATAAGAAGAGAGTCAGAGAAAAACAACAATGTGTCAGACATTTAAAATTAAACTAAATTATACATATAGGTATTCAATTTTCTTTTATTCTTTTACAGCATCTACTGAGTCTGGACCTCAAGGAGCAGCACAGAGCAGCTCCGCCCCTCAGCCTGGAGATGAGAACACCAGGTTTCTTCAGTCAGCCGTGTAAAAGCGCCTCATTTTCTCTCTCAAGCCTCCCCACGGATTCTCCAGAAAGTCTCTTTCTGACGTCCAGCCAATGGGCGCAGCAGTCTGAGGGCCCCCTGCCCTCCCAGCGTGGTAATTCCTCCCAGTGGGGAAAGATGAGCTTTCTTTCCCAGCGCTCTGTCAGCATGGTGGAGACGAGCTGCATGCCAGCAGCAAGTCTAGGCTGGTCCAGGACTGAAAAGACTCACCTGGATGAGATGGGCCCCTCTGTTTTCAACGCTGTATCTCCCACATCATCGGTCTCTGGCTCCTCCTCCTCGCGCTACAAAACTGAACTGTGTCGCTCTTTCACAGAGAATGGGTTGTGCAAATATGGCGGGAAGTGCCAGTTTGCCCATGGGTCAGAAGAGCTGCGTGACCTGAACAGACACCCCAAGTATAAAACTGAGCCGTGTCGCACCTTCCACACCATTGGTTTCTGCCCGTACGGGATCCGTTGTCACTTTATCCACAACAACGAGGAGGAAAATAAGCACGCCTCTTCTCGCTCATCACTCATCATTCCTCACCAGCTCCCGTCGTCAACGCGCTCACACAGACCCCCCCTCATCAGGCAGAGTTTCAGCTTTGCTGGTTTCCCCTCTGTCCCTCAGCACGCCCTCCAGCCCGTCTCGGCTCCTCCTGCCGCTGGCTCATTCACCTGTGGCTCACTGGCCTCGCCGTCCTGCGCTGACATCACTGACCTTCTCTCCAACACCTTCATGGACATGGATTCTGCCTTCGAGGCTTCTCCTGCCCATCAGTGCCAGCCTTCTATGAGCCAGAGTGCCCCAACTGACCCGCGGTCCCCGTTCCTGCCCTCTCCTGATTCTGGCTATTCCCCATGCGCGCTCTCCCCAAGTGGCTCACCTTCTCTCAGGCAGAGTCCTGGCATTGCCGAGGTCCTCTCGGGGCCACTTGGGGCACGCTCGTTGTCCTACACCTCTCTGTCAGACCAGGACCAGGATGGAGGCAGCTCTGCTAGCTCACTGAGCGGTTCCGATTCTCCCGGGGGGAATAATGATAGCAGCGGCAAACGTCTGGCGGTGTTCAGTCAGTTGTCGGTTCCTGAAGATGCTGCTGGCGTCTCTCTTTAGGCTGCAGAACATTTTAAAGTCCGTGCATGTGTTCGTACAGTTATGTGCAGCGCTCTTTCACACGGTCTACACAGACGATGTTCTTTGCACCTGTGTAGCATTAAAGTTAACGAGGACTTACTGAGGGACTAAAGGCTGTTAGATCTGCACAGTTAAGTTATTCCTGTTCTGTCTGCAAACCAGTGATTCAGATATTAAAAGTGTTGCCACCAAAACAGATGACATATCGAGATGTTTTACACTGACAAAAATGTATTTTATCCTTTATCTAAATGGTGACCAGAGGGGATTAAACACAACATTATATATATATATATATATATATATATTTATAATCCAAATCACAGTGAGCTATTGGTGTCGAACCCGAACTGCGTCTTTCACAAACCCCGAGTGACTTTAGTCTGCGATGAAGCCAAAGATGATATTTTTGTAGCTCAGACTCGTGAAACGCACTCGTGGTGGCCGACAGTTAGGAGTTCCTCCAATTATTGTTCTCAGTATTGTTTATAAGCTTGTGAAATTGTTCTTTTCATCCACAATTTGCAGTATGGGGGTTATATTTCCATCACTGGGCCTTGAACCTGACAGGTTTTTACGCGATGTGCCTGAACAATTTTTATTATTTTTTTTAATCAGATCCTGTCGCATTGTCGAACCAATATTGTGATTAGTTAAGAGTTGTGAACAAAGGTGAGACTCTTCTTTTGTTGACGCTTTTAGGAGAGCGTCGATGGTTTTGCCTGCCGGCTGCAGCAAGACGTCAGAAATCAGTAGATGGTGAGGATTTAAAGAGACAAAAGCCTAAACGTTGACATGACGTTTAAAATCCTTTGTTTCTGTTGCTGAGTTGTTTGTCAACAAATGTTACCAGCTCTCTTTGATCCACAGATGGTTTCTGACATCTCAATGTTTTTTTTTCCTCTGATCCTCACATGTCATCATTCAGTATTACTACTTGCTGTTAAAGCTTCGTTTTGTTTAGACGTCCATCTCCTCCACCTTCCTGAAGACTAGTTCCAGCATATTGTACGATTTAGTAGTAGTGTTTTAGGAAATGTTAGTGTGTGTGTGTGTGTGTGTGTGTGTGTGTGTGTGTGTGTGTGTGTGTGTGTGTGTGTGTGTGTGTGTGTGTCATGTAGTTGGTTAGAGGGCCAGACCTCCTGTACGTTCTATTTAAAACTGCCTTTTCATCAACACGTTTGACACCTGTTTAGTGACGAGGTGATCATCTTTAGTAAATTAATTTCTTTAATTTATTTTAACGTATTTATAGAAGACTTCTCAGTTAACGCTTGTATCGAGTTTAATATATTTGGGTTTCTTCTGTGTTTGTACTTGAAATAAAGGTTTCATTTTTTTAAAGCGGCTCTGTGATTTGTGTAAAGTGTGTCAGTTTGTGTTATGTACTATCTGTGTTCGTAGGTGCAGGAAGGAAGGAAGCAGGAAGTTGGTTTTCATTTCCTCAGTATGAACTCTCCATTTGAACTGATTCTGCACGTGGAATGGTTTAACGATCAGCTGTGTAGGATGATGGCTTATTTTCTATCTTTTTTTGTAACTTTTAAATTATACTTTGCAAATATTTAATATTAAATAATTTTCTCCAGCCACTATATACTAAAATGAGCTTTTACAGGGTTAATGAAAGGCCACCAGCCCCTATATCGCCCCCTGTGGCAGAACATTGCAACTTCAGACTGGCAGCCACTGTTAGGACTTAGAAAATTGAGCTGACATATCTGTGGCCTCATTTATCAACCGTACTTACGCAGTTCTGAGTGTATTTCATGCACAGGCACGAATTTATGCATTGTGTGGTGTTTACCAATTAGTACTTGTGCATGGACATTAAAAACAGGGGTCTCATTTATGAAACATTGCGTAGAATCCTTACTAAAACCGTACTTAGGCTCAGCAAAAAAATGTACTTAGCCAAGTAGGTTTGTGATCTATCAAACATGGAGTACGCACAGCTGCACGCAATCTCCGCTTCATAAATCACAAACTTCCTAGAAAGGTTCTCAGGTGTTTTTTGATCTCAACACGCCCACTATCTGTCATAAATGGTCATTGCAAAGTGTCTTGTCGATCTCATGCTTAAAAGCCAGCTCGTTGCAGCATTCCACCATTAACCATGGTGACCGCAAATCAAGGAAGCACAATTTCACCGAAGCAGAAGTTGGGGTACCTGTGGGTGAGGCGGAAAAATGAAAAGAAGTGATTTTGCAAAACAAGAGAAAATCCACAGAGTGGCACAGCGTTGCTGAAGCCGTCAATGTTGTGAGTTCTTCAGAGAGAATCTGACGGTAGAGGCAAAAAAGATGTCTTGCCACTGCCAGAGTGTGTCTGCCACTGGCAGAGGCCCTGGCACCTCTGATCTCCCACCGCTCGCCGTTAGGATCTCAGCAGTACTCGGACCGGTTGTGTGTGTACACGAAGCGGTACAAGAGATAATGCTGCTGGAAGTCATAATTGTATCCTCAGCAGCAGCACTGCAGGTGCTCTCCATGTCCAAAATGTGTGTAAGCCAGGTCCTTAGTCAACTTAAAGTTGCGCACATTTTTCCACTACATTTTCTTTTATAAATCCCAAAGTTTGCATGGAAAGTTGCTTACGCAGTTTTCCAACCCCGTTTTGTTTGTAAGCAAGCTCTATAAATGAGGCCCCAGCTCTGACCATGCGTAGGAACAGCATCTAGTGGAAGAACGGGGAACAGTAGTACTGAAGGTCTCAGTCATCCACACGTGTTCCTCATCCACAAATTACACTTACCCACTATGTAATTATGTTGGTGCATTATAGGTGCTAAAGCCAATAAAAGACACATGTGACCGACAGGAATCTGACATTATATCATGACTAATCTGTGTTATTTGAAGACTTAAGAGAGCGTGCACACTGGAGAGAACGTGTTCTCCATGAGGAAGAAATCCTTCTGCTGTGATTTGGGACCCTTTGTGGCGCGACTGATAAACCCCGTGAATCTGATTCCAGTTCATATTTTATTTTACAACTACGATAACCTCCCAGAACCCCCTCTGCCTATCTCCAGTGGTCAACGGGCCATCAGGCGGGGTACACCCTGGACAGAGAGTCAGTCCATCGCAGGGCAACACAGAGACACACAGGAAAAACAATCATGCACACACACACTCACACCTAAGGACAATTTAGACAGACCAGTCAACCTAACAGTCATGTTTTTGGATGGTGGGAGGAAGCCGGAGTACTCGGAGAGAACCCACGCATGCACAGGGAGAACATGCAAACTCCATGCAGAAAGATCCCAGGCTGGGAGGCGAATCCAGGACCTTCTCGCTGCAAGGCAACAGCTCTAACCACTGCGTCACTGCGCAGCCCACCTCTGTAACTTAAAAAAAAATTTTTTTTTGCACTTCGGCAGCTAGTGTCTCAACCTTGCTGTCGATAAAGTTTTTCTTATTTTTTCTGGAAAAATAAATAAACAGGGAAATCCCTCACGTGCTGAGGATGTAGCGTGATTGCATAATTGAGGGTGTTTCTGTATGTAAATGACGGTAAATAGACAAGCACCTGGAGACGCACCAGTGGGATTTGTCACCAAATGATTGCGGAGGAACGTGCGTATGAGAGGCCACCGCACGTTTCGTTAATCAGGAGTACACACATCCTAACTTTCATTTGTAGGAAGGAATATAGGAACGTTCGTATGAACCTTTTGATAAATGAGGCCCCTGGAGCTGCAGTCCGCTCCCAACACCTTGCCTGCATGTTTTAGATCATGAACACAGCTGATTTGTTTAATGTAGTGATACATCACTCCTGTGCACACAAAGGAAGGCTGGGGAGATCATTTCCGCTGAGTTAAACTGCAGTGTGTATTTTCTTTAGCAATGGGGACAGTAGATACCTAAATCATTGCAAGCATTATTTTTGTGTTAAAGTAAGACGTTACCAGCAGATGGCCATTAGGGTCAAAAATCCTCGGGAGCGCAACCTCCAGCAAAATAACAAGAACATCATATTCCCTTTTATCACTTGCAATGAGTGAAGAGGTAAATGTGTAAAAGAATGTTTATTAATGCTGAAAGTTTTGTAACCATTTGTTACAAATCAGTAAATGCACTCCATCCTCACGGGCTTCCGTAGAAGGAAACATGCCATCCAATATGGCGTCACCCAGAGACTTAGACCTGCTCCCATGTATTTTAGACTAATATGGTTATATAGTATGAAACCGCCAATATTTTTCAACAAGGGTATATTTTATTTAATGGTAAAAACTACACATTGTCTCTTTAAAAGACAAATTCACAGCAAGGATGGGTTTTGCTTTCAATTCTACAAACAGACACTAGGGGGTGGTAAAAGCAAACCTAAACTGCCTAGTTCCCCTTTAAAAATGTGTAGGTTTTGGTTCTAAATGACGCTGAAGCCTGTGCTAGTGAATTAAAACATCACTTGGACTTGATCAAACACAGAATTAACCTCGTAACATTGTGTGTTTCCAGGAATTTAATGACAAGTTCTCCCAAGATGTTTTGGAGTCTGTTATTACTCCTTAACAGTGACTCCATGTATTCTAAAGGCAGACGTGCTGTTTGCAAACCTTAGCTCTTGTTTGACTACTCATGCTGGTTTCTCTGTTTTGGGTCGCACCAGTGTGTGTGTGTGTGTGTGTGTGTGTGTGTGTGTGTGTGTGTGTGTGTGTGTGTGTGTGTGTGTGTGTGTGTGTGTGTGTGTGTGTGTGGCTAAGATCTTGTGCAACGATAAAAAGACCTAAAGTAACATCCTTTCCTCTCTACCTTCTGCATACCACTTCTAAACATGCCGTTTTCAGGATAAACCATGAAACGGGTCTTGGGCAAATCAAACCTGCTTTGTGCAAATGTTTTCTTTTTACTGGTTTGTATTTGTGTTAAATCTAGTTTAAAATAAAACCAGTCTCCTCAAATTGTCTAAAAGTGGGAATAAACACACAAGAGCTATTATGTTGTTAAAACACAAGATGGGCTGGTCATCCAGGGTGATCAGTGGCTGTGAAGGGGTTAAAGGCGTGTGTGTGCTGGTATGGGTGTGTGTATTGTGTCCTATAGACATTCTCCCACACTCTTGCCCTGTCGGACAGAGAAGACAGGCAGATGGCTGCAATCAAGGCCACCACGGGTCAACATATGGACCTTGTGTTTGCGGCTGGGTATCCTGCCATGCATGAGTAGCAAAAGTTCAATAAACTAACAAGAAATTTGAAAACGTGAGGAAGAAAAACTGTCAAGAAGAAAAGGGTGTGTGCATCTACTATCCCAACAGCTCAGATACGTGGATGGTGTATTAATCATACTACTCCAGCTCATTAGCGTGCTATATTGCAGCTGCTTCACTCTTCTGCAGACCAGGGCCAAGTGAATACTCCTCATGGGCCACAGAAATGGGATTTGTTTTATTTCAATATGCAAAAAATCATTTTATGGGGATTTTTTTTTTCATTTATACTTTCAAACTAAAACTTTTAGCATTATTCTACGTCAACAACCTGCTGGGGAGACAAAAGCCATCATTCTACAGGTGAAACTCGGTATATTAGAAAATGGTGCAAAAGTTACTTAGACCGAGAGACCATCTAAAGGCTCAGGAAGCCTTTGCGGGTGTTTTGGATCAATTATCTGATTAGAGTGTGACACGTTGTACCTAGAACATCAAATCTTTTCACAATATTCTAATTGGCTGAGACCTGGAATGTGGGATTTTCATCAGTAAACATGCATACCTAGGGAGGAGGTCATTCTGTAAAAGATCACTTTATTTTCCGTGTACATCACTAAAAACTGCACCTTAAAGTTCTAAACATTCACTGTGTTTCTATGGGAGTACCTCTTGAGAACCTTTTTCACCTCCTCCTCCTTCCTTCTTCTATTCATGTTCCACGCTGTGAATCCATTTGGTGTCATTGTGAGACGGGGAAGGGGTGCAAGGACGTGGGGGGTGGGGGTGGGGGGTGAGGTGGGGGGGGGTGTCCAACTGAACTGTAACCATTGTCCCTCACTTTCACCAGAAGAAACAGTAGAGGTAAAAGGACCCCTCCCCTTCCCCCAGCACCTTCACCAGGACTCACAATCACTCCTTCATCATCTTTTACTTTCTTTGCTGCTTCCTGCCTCCCAGAACCCCTTACAGAACCCTCCCTTTTCATCCTTTCATCTTCCTGCCACCTCATTTTGAGGCTCTCCAGTCTCTCCTTTTAATTTTCCTCTAGCCTATCCTCTCCTAATCTCCTTCACCAACTTTCTGCAATTCTACCCTTTCCTAGTCTCTCTCTAATCCCTGCTTCTATTCCCCCCCCCACCCCCACCCCCACTTCTCTCGAGAGGATTTAAGCAAAGTGTTTAATGGGTCGCAACAAATAGGAAAAGATTGGGCTATGGGTGCAGACTCCATCTTCCTGTTTTTCTTTCCTCTCAGCAGTTCTAAGTTTGGATAAACATCTTTAAAAATCCACAGTTTCATCTGTCGGTTCTGCTCTGCTGTGTTGTGCAGATCAACAGAGGTGAGGGGAAAGTGTGATTTACAATCTGGGGGTTTCTGCAGGTTCCTTTTACTCTTTAGGTCTCTTCACAGAAGAACCCAACAAAACCCCAAAAGCCAAAAGCTTTAGCTGCTCCAAAAACACAACCAATCAGTGTCCAGCAGTAAAAATCTGATGTAGAAGTGAATCTACTGAAAACACAACTTCTAAAAGTTTTATTTATAGGCAAGGTTCTATAAATGGGGGCACAATCTCATGAAATGAAACTAAATTATGTGAAAAGGATAAAAAATATTGTTTATGCTAATAAATAAAAAGATGAGACATTCTTAGGGGGAACATCTATTTTGATGTCAGCAATGGGAAAACAGATATAAAACTATTCAAGAAATACCGGTGAATACAGGGGTGTCTGATATGTTTGTGCGTATTGGTCCACACATGTGAACTGTGCCAGAAAATGTGACTGGTGAAAAAAACTGAGATGGTCAACAGATGCTTTGATTAGTTTTAAAGGTTTTAATATAAAGAACTCAACAAAAGTAGGCATAAAAAGTCAAAATTATCTTAATTTTATTTGGTACAAATAAGTGAAGAACGTCATCACCACTAAAAGCTAGATTACCAGATAGGTGATCAAAAAGTGTTGTGCAGCGCCGCCCTCTGGTGGTTCAAAACAGACTTTGCAGTTATTAATGGATGTTCAACAGTACTATTTATGCATTCAAATCACAGAAATGTTTCTAGTATAAAACAAATACCAAACATAGTAATAACATAGATGTTTTAAATGAAATTGAATTAATGTAACCCAAAACTTTAAAGAGCAAGTCACCCCCAAATCAACTTTTCTTTGCTGATAAACTATTTAATTGAGTGCCTAATCGTGTACTCTAATGTAGCTTAGTTAAATTCTAAATATGCTGCCTAAAACAGTCAGTGTTTTACCCTCTTCAGGTAAAAAATCTGCACTACATTTGAATTGAAATCTGCCATCGCTATTGGCTAAAGAGGTACCCTATGTCGTTAGCTGGTACTGTGTGTGTGTGTGTGTGTGTGTGTGTGTGTGTGTGTGTGTGTGTGTGTGTGTGTGTGTGTGTGTGTGTGTGTGTGTGTGTGTGTGTGTGTGTGTGTGTGTGTGTGTGCGGGTGCAGGATAGGCTCGGGGTCCTTCGACTGCCGATGACATCAAAGTAGTTGATTGGCTGAACATGAAGCTTACGGAAGTGACGTTATCACGTTATGATTTTGATTGGTCAGAACAAATTTGCGGTCGTACTCTTAGCGGTTGTAGTCCTGTAGTCCAAAAATCAACACTTTTTGGAGAAAATATGTTTGAATTTCTAAAGGAAATGCAAAATATAAGCTAATGATAAATGGTGACCCTCAAAAGCTCTTGATGTTGATGAGATGGAGCAAAATAAAACCTAAGAACTTTATTGAAAGACACCAAGCAATATTTTGAGTCAAATGATGTATTTAGATAACTAAGGAAATATACAGACAAACTCCACATTAATACAAACTGATATGGCTTCACATATAAGAACTGTTTTATTTTTTGTCAGTCAGATGTTGGTTTTATGCAGTTTCACATTTTTTACAAAGATAATATGGTGTTTTATTAACAAATTACAATTATAAGGAAAACATGTAGGTGTTAACAAACAAGAACTTATTAACAAAACTGCTGATGTCTTTCCAAAACGTGTTGAGTAGATTCACAGTAATGTGACGTCATCGGCAGTCGAAGGACCCCGAGTCGATCCTGCACCCGAGCAGATCCTGTACCGACAGTGGCACATTTTTCAAACAGGAAATGGAAGTGGATTATAGACTTTAGTCGGGGGTGTCTTGCTCCATTTGCCCGCATGAGTTCCAAATTATTGTCAGAAAATCTCAAAATCATATATCTGCTGGTCAAATATAGAAAAAAATATGTCAAATATAAAGCAAATACTTAATAATAAAGTACTAGTGGAGGCTGATGCTGTGTCAGATGATCACATAACAGTTTACACATAAAAATCTCAGAACCAATTATTCCTTGTAGATTTGAACCTAAAAGGAAATATAATTAATAAAGGACAGCTGTTAAAGGTAATCAACATAAATATTCACAAATAACAGGACAAGCGTTGAATTTGGTTTGTAGATCAATCAAAGACCAATCTTTGTCTTTTCTGGACAACAAATGTATGCTGTTAAATGTTAAAACTTAATATATTTATTTTATATTACCTATTATTAACTTAACTGAAATTTTGTGTGAATAAAATCCTTCTAAATCTAGCATGCGTTTAGTGTCGCCCTGTGGCCACCAGAAGGCGTATGATCTGACATATTCAGATCAATAAAGTTCTGAGAAAGAAAGCCCCTTTAACCCATAGCTCATGCTGTAGCTCATTGATTTAATCCAGCTGGAAACAGATAAATGAAATATATTTGAGTTTTGGTAGCTAAATAATTTCATTAGTTCTGTTCTAGAGTTGCAGGGTTTTTACCATACAGCTGAAACTGTTAGCAAAATAAGGTAAATACTCAGCTGCTCTGTGTTAGAAGAGAAAACCAGAACATAAGGAGTTTTAGTAGTTAATTTGTATAAGTGAAGACCTTCTGGCTTTCCTCGTATCTAGTCGATGGTTGTTAATGCAATTCTTTTGAAATGTGGTCATTTTTCAAGTTGTATGTTTTATTTTACGTTTAGCTCATGAATGCTGTAGTAACCAGTTGTCTCCAGCAGAGGGCAGAAAACGCCAGACACTGAAGGGTTGAGTTCTTGAGTTTCCATCCAGCTGACCTAAATCAAACATAGAAATCTCTTATAGACGGAGTATGTGATCATCAATCAAATCTAACAACAGATTAGAAGTAATTCAATTATGTTTATTTAGACAAAGAAACTTTTTTGTCTTTTTAACCCTTTGATGCATGAATTATGAAATCTTCAACCATGATTTATCTTTAACAATTTTTTTTCATTCATCTTTAGGTGTGAATGAAACAAATTTCATATTTACATGTTTTTTGTAACATTTAATTTACAAATAATTTATTACATGTCCACCTTAGTGGACAGCGTGCATGCTGAACATGAAATATGTTGGCTTGAAGTCCAAATGGAGGGGCTCAAATGCAATAAAGTCTTCAACAGCTGTGCTTAATAGCAAAAATAAATAACAATTATGAGTACCTGTCCACTGTAGTGACCATTATGCATCAAAGGGTTAATTATGCATTTTTACAAGCCAATAAATCTCAAATGTGACAAATAACTTCTGTTTAATTAACACATATTCACTTATATTGCTTTTTTTCTATTCAAGGGACCCATGAGCCGACCGGAAAAGGGCGGAAATTTAGCGTCCTGGTGCTTCTAATGACCAGTCGGCCACAGCACACAACCATCATGTTTAACACAATTACATAAATAAAATTTAAATTGTTTTCATCTAAATGAAGATAAATGCTTTTAGGGTGAAACATTGTTTACAACGCCAAGATGCTGTAGCATTTCCTTAGAAAAAATTGACAGGAAGTTTCTACTAAATATTGTAACTTTATGTGCAGTTCCCTATTCCTCCTCCTCCTTATCCTCAATGTTAATATTTACAAAAGGACAAAAACAATTTGGATAATTTTTTTCTGCTTCAGGGTAACATATTTCTATGGTTTAACAGAACCAGAGTTTAGTTCTAGCTTTTCACCACTGGGGGCATCAATTCCCCATCTTGTTCAAACAAGTTCAATTTAAGACAGACATTGTAGTGCTGTAGCTAGGGGAGCGTGTACAGTAGTGTAATGTGTAGCTCAGATAGTTTTAACTTTTTTCAGCAGGAGAATTTGGGTGTGTGACGTGAGAGCGTGTGAAGACATTCAAATGTCTCACACTCATTGCGTCAGAGATGGCAGTCCTGCAGGTGGTAGAGTTTAAATATTTATTCTTTGTTCTGATTTTAGTTTTTATGTGTTTAGAGGTTTTCCAGTAACATTTACAAGACTAAACTCTGCAACACATTACAAAAAATACAGTGCATTGACAAAAACATTTAAATGTATGCTGATGTAGTAACTGGAACATTTCTAATAAGCTGAATAAGGTGAACCAGAATCAAGGTCCTCTGTAAACTAGAGATCCTGTCATTTACTAAACAGTAAAAATGAACAAAACCTCAATCAAAATAAAGAAGGAAACAGACATTCTCTGTCCATTATCTGCAACCCAATTTAAAAGTCTGTTTCACTCTCTTAGAGGGACAATCCGTGTAGTCCGGTTGTGATATTTGATCCCTTCTGCAGCCGTGATGCTTGATGAAAGAGCAAGAACTACGATGCACTCATCTTCTGCCGTAAACATAATTGGTTCACGACTTCTGGATCACCACCTGAAACTTACCTGTGGAGACAAAATGTTACGTGATTTATTTCTGTAATGGTTTAAAAAACATAAATAAACCACGTTTAGTGTCATTTACATGTGAAAATGCTCAAAGACTGGAGTTCAATGGGCTTTTCTATTAACTGGCAACACAACCATCCACACTTTACAAGTTGTGGATGGTGATCATGTGATGCTGTTGAACTCTCGCCTACAGGGAAACAAATTACATGTCGGCTTTGTGCTCGCACTCACATGAAGGCATGCTAGAAACCTCGGCTGTCACCACGCTCTCCAGACCGAGGTTAGACAGAGCTCCTCTCACCACACCGCACGAAAACGCAAGATACTAAAAATATATTTAAAAAGAAAAACATCTCAGATGAACACCACCGCATAGAAAAAATATCCAATTTCTTTCAATTTTAGTCAACAAATAGTCACATTTCTATCATCTAATATGGAAAAGCAGTCTACTCATCAATCAACCAATCAATCAATAAATCAAAGCTTTATTTATAAAGCGCCTTCCGCAACCCTATCGGGAAGCCCAAGGCGCTGAACATGGTACAAGAGGAAGTTAAATAGCATCTACTAGTGTATGTGTGTGAATATGGTATACCTTAGGGGCCTGATCCAGATATTGTTTTCCATTGGAGAGCTGAGTTAGTAGCGCAAACTTGTTATCTTGAAGGACATAGGTACCCTGTGGTGCAAATTATAGAGTTCTAGAACAGCAGACACATTCCCAGACATAAATAACCCCTTCTTTCACCGGCCCGCAAGCTCATTCCCAATCGGGAGCTATTCTGATGCAAAATGAGAGCCAAAGCACTCCACACAGTTGATTCTGTGAGGTCACTAAATCATGAGAGATTTGCAACACGACACACGAGTTCAGAAGTCCGCACACAATAATAATAATAACATAATGATAGCGCCCCCTCGTTTCTAGGGCGAATCCAAAATGTTACACTTTGCCGCCAGTGCAAAGGATCTCATCCATGGCCATGGCGGCTAAATGCTGAGTAGTGCGTTTTGCGGCCGTTACACAACGCTTTCTTGTGCGGTGGAAAGAAGGGGTTACAAAGCCTATGGGATAATAAAAGCTTTTCATTATAAACCTGCACTTAAAATGTAAGAATTAGCAGATAATGCTAACATTCTTAATTTGTGTCAATGCACAAAAGTAGAAAAACAACAAAACGCTCAACACTTAACTGGTAACCATTACAAAAATAAATCTATCATGGTGTAATGATCCAAAGAAGACTCAATAACATGTGGTTTTAATTTTTCCAAGAGCTTTTGAAGGCTTTGGACCATGAATAATAAATACTGATTTGAAATTTATATTTTGTCAGTTTGTAGTTAACTTTTAAACTAAACTTTCAGTAAGTGTGCTCTGGTACCTGATGGTTTGTTCTGAGGTTGTCCACCTGCCTCCTGAACACTTTGGTCCAGAAGTCTTTGCAGACAAACTTCATGATGTCCAATTCATCTTTAAAGCTGGGAGAGTCCCGGGTCAACCTACAAACAATGCAGATATTTACTAAACAAAAGATTACACACACCCATTTACTGCTGTCCATGCAGTGTGGTTTCTATTATCTACCTCTCAATGAGACCTTGTCCCACCCTGAAGCCCATGGCTTCCAAAACAGAAATACAGACAGCTCTGTCCTAAAGAGGAAAAATAAATCGTAAACATTAGACAGAAACCTACATTTTTACCTACACACGGCGAGTCCTGTAAACTTATAATGCTGCTGCTAAACACTGCATAAATAAAGTATATGTTAAAAAAACAGACGGGGAAAAGCCAAACAAATGCTTGCTCATACAGAAAACTGAAGACTAACTAGAATTTTCGCATATTGGATGTAATTCAAGCTCACCTTGTTGTCCATCTCTCCTTTGCCTGACTGCTGACTAAAAATATGGGAAACAATCTCCAAATGGAGAAATTCAAACAGGGACTCGTCTGCCATTCTAACAAACACTCGGATGTGATAGCTCTCTGATTAGCTTCAGCTATTAGCTAAATGGTGTAAGTTGTTTCCTAACAAACAGTTTAAGTCGCGATAGCCTATTTTATATACATTGATTTGTGCATATTATCAATAAAAACAAGACAAAAATCAACGTACGAGTTCACTATACCAAAAATGCTAGTTTTAAATACAGCTGAGGGCTACAACTACCGTAGCTGCCAAACGCTTTTCCTTCTCCTTCTTCTGCTTGCTTAATTGCGGTTGACAAACAACAAATTGGTGCAATACCGCCACCAACTGGTACTGACTTTGGACAAGAATATCCCTCATCGATTAGACAGACGTCTGAACAACATCCAGGTCAAGCTCATAAATAGTTATGTAGTCAGTGATAATGTTATTTTCCTCGCACAGCATTTTAAATTAAAATGAACATCAAATTACGCACGGTTACGTGACTACTTAAAATTCCGGCGAGTATTGGTGAATTTATCAAACCAACCCCTTGAGGTGCCCTTCATGGGGACCAATCAAACACAAAACGTCCTTATCACGTGTTAAAAGAGCTCAAATCAGATTGGACCTTGAATAAAAAGGTACATCCTCGCCATCATGTGATTTATGTTTTGGAAGGGAAACAGCTTTTGCTAGTCTTCCTGTTTTAGCTATAACACATGGTGTTTATTAGCAGAATAAACTAGGACTTAGAGAAAAGAATGTAGGTGAGGTTTCTAGTTTTTTTTGCTATGCAATTCTAGCAGCAGTTGTAGTCCAGTCTGTGTGTGTCTGTGCGTTTGATCGATCATGTCTAGCAGATACTCTATGGTAGTGCAGGGCGAAGCCTCAGAAACAGACTCTGATGATGAAGTCTACATCACCTCACTGTCGTCTCACCAAACAGCCACGGTCGGAGCCAAGGTTTTCTTCTTGGTTGTGTGATTTTAAATAATAGAAAGAAACATGGGGGTGTTGTGCACACTGATTGTTTTTGTGGATACTCTCAGGTTGTTGGGGAGGCCTCTGAGACAGACAGTGAGGACGACCCAGATAAGACAGTCAGAACCTCAGCAGCGGGTCAGGACAGCACCCAGATCCTCAGGAGAGACCTGCCACCCCTTATTGTGGTTCGAGACCATCCTACTGTACAATCCATAGTGGAAGACAGGCCCAGTCCTTCACACAAACCCCATGGTGAGGAGTTCACATCATATGCATTTGTTTTGATCATAGAAGCAGCAATTTTAGAGGTTTATTTGTAACACAAAACGTGTTTTGATCGTTCAGTTTCAGTTTAAAGTGGCACAGACTAGATAGGAAGTTTGAAAGTGAGTCCCCACTTTGTTTTCTTATTTCCAGCCTATAACTCTCCTAAAACCATGATCAGAGGTAGTCAAGTATAACAAGAAAGAAAATACATCTGGAGGGCACATAAGCAAGTGATCAGACACAAAACAAAGGATCGCTGGAAACAAATAAGGGAGAAGGAGAAAGAAAAAGTCCAGGAATCACCTCTGGTTTTGTTCACAGGTAAAACCCTTTTGCAGCAGAAGCTGCAGGAATCAAACAGTCGGCTGTATTCTGATGTAGGTCAGATGTTACGGCAGGTGTACGGCAGCGCCAGCAGAGAGGTACATTCTGTTTCAATGTGTCTTATTTAAGCATTTAATGGTTCAAATGTAATTTATGCTCTGAATAGTTACGTCGCATATTAGGATGAACATAAAATAATGTCACAGTTTTAATCTAACTTTTTGAATGATTTTAAGGTACACAGTGCAACGTCCCAGCTGAATGCCTCTCAGAGCTCTATCATAAACGCTTCCCACAACATCAGGTTGATCCTGGATGACCTGAAGGCCGTGTCCGAGAAGATCGACATCATCACCAGCTGTCAGATACTACCGGACATTAACATCAGTGATCCCAGTCATGTGACAGCTGCTGTACTTTGAAGACGTCCACCAGAGATACTTCAACACAACTGAAACATCAGGGTGTTTAATAAATCTTAAGAAGAAACAGATTTTAAAAATGCATTTTCTTTCATCTATAACTTACACCAGTTGCCTGGAGACAACAGCGGGCCAAATGAAGCTGCCTAAGGAGATTTTTGTGTAACAACATTAATGTTTGTTTAGACTTTTTGAATTAGCTGAAAACAACCTGTAGATTCGAACAAAGTCTCCTCACTTAATGTTCCATCACCCAAATTTAAGTCCTGACCCCATATTTATTTGGAAACCAGCAGCTTGGTTCACAGATGTTGCTGAATAAGTAAAGATTTGCCTCTTAAATGTTTTTGTTTACAAAAATAAATGCATTGTTCTCACAAACCAATGTACAACACTGCAATTTATGAGCACAAATAAAATACCTACAAATGTGTTAAAATAGCTAATTTCAAGTCAAAGTGTGTTATTTTTACAAATTGATAAAAAAAAAAGTTCTTGCAGACATTTTGCTAAATAAAACACTTCCATGGTGTATGAAACCAAAAACAAGTCAACATAAGTGGTGGTCTAAAACTAATTACAATGAGCAAAACAACCATAAAGTTCATTATGATGCAACAAGCTACACATCGCTTTGTGCACGTTACACAGGAGTGTAAACGTACACCAGCACCACGACCAGCAGGTTGAGAACAGTGCCCACGATACCCGCAATGCCAAGCAGGTGGTCAGGGTCAACTTTGCACCGCGGCCCGTTGGTATAAATCACATGACGATCAGCTGGCTGGGAAAAAAAACAACAACACACAAGTGGATCAGAATTAAGTGAAGTACTATTTTTGCCCACGTGATGGCGCCACTTACATTCCACAATCTTCCCTGGTCTTAACAAAGAACTGCTCATCCCGATGCAGAAGAAAATGTTTATTTTTGAGCATGCACATGTTTAATAGATTAAAATAAAAGAAGGACCCAACTGTTAAACATAAAACTTCTCATTGTGCATTTTCATTTCTTATTGTTTTTGTTTTTATAGGTTATTTTTTTATTCCCTGATTTATTGCTTTTTATTTATAAATTGTATTCACCATAACTCAAGTAAAAACACAGTTTTTTTTATGTTAAAACATCAGAGTATATCTGATTTTCTAAAGACCTTATTTCAAATCTGCACCTACTGATCTTATTTCTAATGACGAATTTAGATAAAAATTCATTTCTAGGAACATGTTCCTGAAATATTTTTATTTAAAACAGTTTTTATGAAAGATGGATTTAAATTAAGCCTCATAAAATAAAAAATGTTAAATATAAGTATTCAAATTTGTTTTAAGTCATGTGCATAGTTTCCATTGTACTTAATTTTGTTTCATTAAATTAAAATGGATAATTTTTATGAAATTATCAATTAAATTAAATTAAGAAAGCATAGCATCAATTCCCACGTTGCTCTAAAATGTTTGTAATAACCAGCATTTCTCAAACAACATTAAAAATGTTTCTAATGCTTTTGTTTACCTCTCTGGCGTTCCTCTGTCCTCTCTTGTCTCTCATCACCCCGGTAGGCTCCATTTTTCAATCTCCAACCCTTAAAAGCAGTAATAGCTACACTTTCTATGTCAGTTTCTCAAGTCCCTAAAAACGAGCCGATCACAACTGTCCCAGAAAATATGAGTGTGACGCACCCCTGGTAGCTATTGGAGCTGAAACCTTCTGTGTCTTCACTTCTCCTGAGGCTACAGAGGCTCACAGGTCTGTAATAAATGAGAGTATAAAAGGAACGCTGGTTTGTTTTATTGCACTTTGAACTGCACAGAGTGACACAGAAGGCCAAGAAGCTGCCCAGCTGCAACGTCTGTGTTAGGTCATACATGCATAGTTGGCTCAGACATGGCTGTTTGTGCCCAGTGGGGACACAGGCCGTTGTGGAGGTCTCTAATGCCAGAAGGACTCATATGTGTGTCTAATCATCACTAAGTAGATCATTTGTGAGCAAAATGTGTGCATATGCAGACAATCTGTGAAAAGCTGCAGAGAAAAGAGAAAAGTAACATGATTTCCAGGCTGGAAAGAACACGTTTTACACAGCAGATTGTTGTTATTCATGTTTCCATGCTCAACGTAGATAGAATAAAGGTTGGCATTCATCCTCTGCTTTAATTTCTTTTGTCTGAGATGATTTGCTCCAAAGATCCATCAGTATTTCAGTTAGGGGCCGTATACATTTGAGACAATCCTCAGATGTCAGATATAAGACCATAAAGATAAAAAATAACTCAGGTTTCATTCAAAAACCCATCAGACTTTTGACAAAATGGCATCAAACAAAAAGGACTCAGGAAAATGTCCTAAGGATGTCCTAAAATGTACGTTGTAGTATGGTCTACATTAATAACTGAAATAAAGATAAGATTACTAGTTAGATAACGAACAAGACCAATAAAGTTACATTATCACACATTTATAACGTATATCACCAGTGTGTGTGTGTGTGTGTGTGTGTGTGTGTGTGTGTGTGTGTTTGTGTGTGTGTGTCCCAGTTGTTTCAGGCACTCAATCACAGAGAAAGAACAACACTAGTGTCATAGCAGGATTAAAACATATAAGAGTTGCATGAACTTTTGTGAAAGTCAAAACCCCACCTCCCCCTTAACGTCCACACCAAGAATAAAAAATATTAATGAAACAGTTGTTTTGTATTAAAACACAAAAAAATGGTTTATAATAAAATGTAAATCAATATTAATATAAATATATAGTGTTAATAATAAGGTCAAATCAATGTAAATGTAATTTTTATTTTATTTTATTTTATTTTATTTTATTTTTTCATTTTTTATTTAACACTTCCATATTCTTTACTATTTTTTGTTACACTCAACAGGCAAGTAGAACATAAAATGTTACAGTTTTATATAAAACATCTTCTTTTGTTCCAGCAACAGTGGCTCCAGGCTTGCACATGAGGACGGGGTTCATGCTCGAGCTGGCTAACGATCTAACGTCTAAAATAGTAACGCAGCAAACAGCACAGAAGGGTGCTGAGGAAAGAGCAGAAATGTCTGTGGAACATTAAAGAGCAGAGAGTGAGGCGGAGAGGACAGACACTAGACCAGAAAGCATTTCAGCTGTGGTCAAGTCCGTGTGTGTGTGTAGGTGCGTGCATGCATGTGCACAGAGGCCAGCACCCATATCAGCTAGGTCAGTGGCTGTCTCATGGGGCGCCTGAGGACACACTAATAGTTTACATGGCTGGGTGAACATATCTGCACACAACAGTCCAGGTTTGCCAAAGGAACCGGAAGAGCTTTACTTTGGGTGATGATCTTGTCTTCTGTTGCATTTATGATGATGTGGAAACTGGAGAAATCTCAGATTTTTCAGAAAAATTAAACAGCTTCTATCGGTATCCCTCAGGGCTCTATGCTAATACCCCTGCTTTACACCTTTTACCCACATCTTGCTCCTCTGCCCACTCACCCAACACTATACTTGGTACTACACACAAATCACCCATAATTAGCCCAATTCAGGGTTGATGTCCAAAGGCTTAAACATCTCTGATCCGTTACCAGTTACTAATTAAATTACAACCTTGGAGGAGAGTTACTAGTTTTTTTAGAAGTATTCACTGAGACTCGTCTTCTTTGAGATTTTGTTAAATAGGTGTCATCTAGGGTACTACACTTCTATCTTAAAAAGAAGCCTTTATTTTACAACTCGTTTAAAAAACAAACAAAAAAAATCTGTTTTCTTCCCTTCCACAAAGTCTTAGTAACAATTTGACTAATTTTCACAAAAACAAATTAAAAAAACTACCCTGCGAACTCATATGAGGACATTAAATTTGTATCCTTCCGCACTGTAATAATTCTTTTTTTAAAACTTTGACCTATTGGCCTCATTTGGGGCCACTGGCAGCACCATCTAGTGGTCAAAGAACAACACTACACCCATTTACCTGAAAATAAAATGGAGCGAGTGTCAGCCAAAAACTTCTATGCAGGGGCGGCGTTAGGCCCGGCTACTTGGGCTGAAGTCCCGGATGTTTTATGAAAAGCCCCGGATCTAAATCGCGGAAGTAACATGCAGTACTAAAGTCCAACAGAGAGGAAGCAGCTGGCAGTAGTTTGTATACAGCCTGCCTGAGCCTCCACCAGTGAAGAAGAAGCCCTTTAGCAGCTGGCTTCTTCTACACTCTCTGCCTGAAACGCATGAGTGAAGATGGACATAAGGACGTTTTTTAGACAAAAAGTACAACGACAGAACCCCAGCTTTGATGAGACTGGTGTTGACTCAGGTTTGTGAGTCTTATTTGAAAATATTTGTTGTGCTGCTGGTTTGCCTAAAGTTAGCTTATCAGGTAACGTTGTTGGAGAAAGAAAGGGAATATTTACTATCATCTCACACTAAACACTAACAGGAACAATACTCTGCCCTGAAAATGCTTAATATGTAGCTTCAGATTAAAAATTATGTGGTACAAGACAAATATATATGATGTTGACTAGTGCGTGTCACATGTGTGTGTGTGCGCGCGCGTGTGTGTTAAGCCCCGGATCTTTTTCAGTCCTAAATCCGCCCCTGCTTCTATGGCCAGCCCAGTCCTGAAACAAAAAAGAGCCAGGTAAGAGTTAAATTCATTTTTCATCAATGAATCCATGGACGTAATTTGGGGGGGGGGGGGGGGGGGGGTTGACCCCTGCACTTGTTACCATCCAAAAACAATATTACGCTATATTAAATTGACACTGGTTGAGCTCTAGGACCAAGCGGAAAACAACCGTTTGTGTTGAAGCCTGTTTCCCATTAGAGCATACTGTAAAGACGCCCCCCCCCCCCCCCCTAAAGTGAAAATTACGTCCATGAATGAATCTGTAGTATTTATGCAAAGTAAAGTCTATTGCTTCATATGAATTGCAAATGTGTGATATTTTGAAAAGATTAGCCAAATAAAACATACCTAAACTTGAAGTACTTGTTTGAGGACATCGGGATTATGTTAGGTTCTCAATTGTGCCATGCAGTAAGATAAACTTGCAAACTTTTGCAAAAATTTTCAGGTGAAAATAAATATTGTAATTAAAAAAAATTTTTTACAATTATGTGTTCAGATAAGCTTGAAAATGTTTTGAGCATAAAAAAACCAATTACTTCTCGCAAGTGAGACCTTTATTCAGCTTTAGAAATAATTAGCTAGCTAACCAGCAAGCAAGTCTGAGTCATATGTATGCAATCTATGTTTTTATAAAATATTACTGCAGTTTGGAGATTATTTTATTATTTTATTGTTACAGGAATACTTTCATTGTCAATAGCAGAACAACTGCTCAATGCAATTGCAGAAAACTCTGATGTTGAAGGTTTATCAGATGGTGAAGACAATGATCTGGCTTTGGATGGAAATGTTCCACATTTGTTTGATGATATGACTGTGGAGCATCATCCTGATGATTCTGAAGAACATTCACCAGAGGATGATTCAGATCAAGATTATAGACCATCTGAAGGAGATGCTGACAGCAATGATAACAATGAGCCACTCCATCCACATGTGCACAAACATGGGTGTCAACGACAGCGTGTTGAGAATGAATGTGAGCCAGAGGACAATTCTGTTACATTTTCACCTTGACTCTTCAATTGCTTTAAAATTACAAGTGCATTAATAAAAAAAAGTTTGTGTTTTTTTGCATCAGCTCTGAACAAGGATGAACCAGGACATAAAAGTTTTGTTATTATACTTATAAGTCCTATTAAACTGAAACAACTAAGAAAAATAAAAAATGCACAAGAAAACAATGGTCGGGTCTCAGGAGGTTAACAACACCATGCGCTTTAAGTTTAAAGGGTGCTACTTGCTCTCCATTATCTAATCAGATGGGAAACAAGTAATATAAACTTTAGTGTTCCTGCAAATTAAAACAGAATCTTTAGTTTATTACAGTTTGGGTTTTCTGTAAGTAAAAAAGCCCGAACTGAACTATTTTTTGGAAAACATGCATCCAGTGTATCTTTTTTTAATCAACAACATTTATTAATTGCTTTGTAATTGTCAAACATATCAGAACATTAAAGGCAACAATGAGTGAAAGTGAGTCACTTTTCGCAGCTGAGTTCATAGTAGTCAGACGTCTGCTCTACAGCCTGAAATTGGGCACTTTTTGTGCGTTACAAGAGTCCAGCGATAACTTTGTGTTCCTCTGTGTATTTGCTGTCAAAGAATGAAAAATTGGAGAATCATACTTGTGGACTGAAGGAATAGTCTTTGCACAGCCTTCAATTTTTGGTTCTTGCTAGCCTGATTGGGTTTTTTAATGGTTTGCAGTTTGCTGAAGAAACACGCAGTTATTAAAGGTGCAATAAGTAAGAATTTTACATTGAAATAGTCACAAAACAGTCTAATGTCTCAATCATGTTGGAGGGAAGGTTACATAGAAACAAATTCCCTTAGCAGCTGGCTGGCAGGTTGTCAGGTTTTCTCTTATTAAAAAGGCAGAAGCGCGACTTTGTCATTCTTTACAGTCAGTGCCACCTCCATAGCAGAAAAATCTAGACAGCTAAAGCAAAATGATTTTGGTCTGCATAGGAGAGTCAGCAGGTCTACTATCAGTATGGTGTTATGCCAATCACAGAGCTCTATCAGTTTAGTGGGTGGGATGATGTGACAGAGCAGAACTAAGATGGCGATGGTTCGTTTGAAACAGCTTTGGCATCAGCTTTGGACCATTGAGACTTGGGCTTTCCCCAGAATCAAGAGCAGACAGAGGTACGTATTTGCGTATTTTTCGATGGGGTATAGCAAACTGACCCATTGGCCTATGTAGCGGTGAGTACGTCACGTTGATCATTGTCCAATGTATGTGGAGACAGTTTGAAAAACAACCATAGATTCCGACCCACGACTGAGTTCTGTCTATGGGTCGTGGTTTATTCACATATATAGAATGGCTTGCCAGGCTACCACCTCCATACTTCCTAGTTCTAGAGCCAATCACATTTGAGCCTGCAAAGTTGTAAAGTCTTCAACTCAAGTCTTCGACATCAGCCAAAACAGAGCAACAGCATTGTGGACATAATGAAAGCAAGTAACAGGAGTGACCCAGAATTTGTTTTTTGTACCTCCTAAGAAGCCACAGCATCTGTTTTGTTTTACTTTAAAATCAGGTATAGAAGGCTAGAGGCTAACGGTGAGCTAACAAGGCCAATGATGAATTAGAAAAAGAATACCTTGCTCTAAAATGATCTCAGCCTACTTTTTTCAACTTGATATAATCATGAAATCTCTTTATCTGTTTATCAACTCACTGTCTATGACTCGTCTTCACTTGTCATCTAGGATTTTCTGGCCATAGCTGGCACCAGCTAGCCTAGTGAACTAGACCAAAATCTTGCTTTGCAAAGTTTGGTCTAGGAACACTCCAGCACTTCCCCAGCAGCATTCCAGCCGGCCAATCACGGCTATCTATAGGGGTTTCAAACTGGTAGAGCATTGTGATTGGTCCACAGTGGTGGGCCAATCATTGTGCTCTATCTGCTTTGTGGGCCAATCACAGCACTCTATCCGCTTTGTGGGCCAATCAGGCCCTTCATTTGTCTGGTGGGTGGGATGATGCCACGGACTTGAACAAGATGGCGACAGCTTATTTAAAACGACTTTTCCATCAAATTTTGGACTATTTGGACTTGGGCTTTATTAGAATCAGAAGCAGATATATGTATTTAAGTCCTTTATTATTTAGAAAAAAATGTAATTTCTTCCTCTTCAACAGCAGACTGCCTCATTCATTGCAGTGAGTACGTCACATTTTTCATTATCGTTGTTCATTGTCCAGTAGCATGCAGAGATTGTAAATAAATATTTATTTAGTCTGGTTTGCCAGGCAACAGCTGCTCAGAGTGGACTTGATTGTTTTGATACATGTACAATAACCACATTTGACCACAGGATGTCATTCTTACTTCATACACCATTAAAGGTGTTCTCTTTCCATTCATCATAAATATCCTTCCATCGGTGATGTCTGAGTTTAATCCCACCTAGTTTTGAAACAGTCCCTTAGACCGTTTCACTAAGGTGCAGGTCACAGCTGTTTTTCTGTGTACAAAGGGGTTTGTTAACAGGTTGGATTTAATCCAGATTGTAATCTGATCCTCTCAATGGAAGTTTTGGGGCACAGAGGCAGAACTGGAGTCACTGGAGATCAGAAGGAGTGACTGGATTGTCCACTTATAGATAATTTCAACATTCCTTGTGAACACGGAGTTCTACTGGGTTGAACTGAAGTCTGGCTTTACCTTCCATTTTGGATGAGAAAATGATCTTGAGAGATTTTTAGTACACTTTTTGTATCCTGAGGAGGAGTGTGTGGCAGACACCAAGAAGCAGTAACAAAGGCGACGAAGGCCATCGAGAGCCCCACTCTGTTCACTATTAACACTCATAATTACACTTAAAAATGCTCAGTGGCCTAGTGAGTGTCCGCCCTGGGACTGGGAGTTTGAGGTTCAAATCTGGTCGGGTCATACAAAGACTTTAAAAATGGACCCAATGCCTCCCTGCTTGATGCTCAGCTTTAAGAGGTTGGATTGGGGGGTTAAACCACCCAATAGTTCCTGAGCGCAGCCACAGCTGCAACTCATCACATCCCCAGGGATGGGTCAAATGCAGAGATGTAATTTCACCAATCTGTGATGGTGACTAATGGGGAGTTTGACTTTAAAACTATGACACATAAATACTTTAGATACTGTGTCATCCCAGTGGTGCAGGGGTAAGCCCAGGTAGACTAAGCTCCTGATCTTCCAACTGTAGAACAAGGATTCTGCCACCAAATCCAATCCAATAATCCAGGGTCCATCCTTCGAAGGTCAGGATTACAAATCACTGCTGCAGAGGTTCCCACACAAGACATCTGTCAACTCAGACTACATCCCTGACGTTTCTGAGCAGTTGAACAATTGGTTGCAATTGTATCTTTGTGTTCCCTTATTCAATTACCAAACTATCATGTGAGCTCTGAGCTGTGTGAGAAATGATCCGGTGGGAACAGATCACACATCTCAGGAGAATTTTCAGAGGTTCTATAAGACATATAACAGAATCAACAGAAGCATTTTTAACATTTTTATTAATATTTCTTTTAGTTATACATACATTTATCAATTTTATGAAAGTACAGCAGATCTCAAAAAGATATTTAAAATTCTTGCTCCAAGTTGTTGAATCAATTTTTTTATATAATTTCATAATCAACAAAAAAAAAGGATCTTTGATTAAAAATGGACAAAAGCAAACCTAAAAAACAAGACAGTCAAATCTTCTGTAATAAACCTTATTTTTTTTAATTATTAATATTATTATAATTATCGTTGCTTCTGTCATTGTTCAAAACCAGTCCAGTTTCATTTGCTGGCAAAAATATAAATTACATTTTTTTATTGCACAGCCTTCCCCTCTAAGTGAATTTGTGCTACAAAATAATGCAAAAACATTTAAAAAAGGATATTAAAATTGGCCAAATTTCCTTCCATGTGGTTGTCTTTTATCCTCCAGGCACTTATTTTTGCCATACTTGCTCTAAAAAATAAGTGTTGTCTTTCCAAAAATAAAATAAAATAAAATAATGCAGCTTCTTCTTCCTAAACACTCAGAAGCGTTTTAAATCTGACTCAGTTTCTGGTCTGAGGAGCGCAGATTTGATTTTATTCTGTCAAATGAGAAATGTCTCTGTGCATGAACGGAGCCAATGAAGGGTGAGAGTTTGAGCTGTGTTGTTCTGTTGATGTGCGTGCACTCGGTGTCTGTTTGGACTGCAGATGGTCGGGATTCACCCCCTGGGTTCTCTTCTCTGATTGGTCCACAGAACACTAAAACTAAGACGGGTCCCCAGTGAAATCTGGAATTGCGTTTGGGCTCGGCTCAGACACACCAACCACAACATCCTGTCAGCTTAATAAAAGTAGCCAGAATATTTCATCCAGCACGAGTCAGTGCAGAAATGCTCATTTGTTAAAAACACAGTTCTACTCAGCTTCAATATGAAATCTTTCATTTCATCTTTATACTCATAAGCAGGATTGCTCAAATTCTTGATTATTATAAAAATATATTTTACATTTCTTTCTATCTTAATTAGGTCAAAAGCATCTGATCTGTGCATTATTGTGACTTAATGAAGGAATGTTGCCCCATTCATTGTATTTTACTCCTAAAGGGGGGTTAATATTTAGATTTTTTTTTTGATTGGAAATGAAATTATTATTGTATGAGTATTATTATCTTAGTAGGGGGCTTTTTTCTTTTTAAAGAAAGCAATGATTAAGTTTGGGCTGTATTTTTGAAGTGACAATGTGTAGGTTTTACCTTTAACCTCTGGAAATATCCATCAAAATGTGATTGAAAATGAATTCAATGATGCCCAGTTTTTGAAAAATATTGGTGACTTTGTAAAATATAACCACAAAAATTGGGTAAAAAAATACATGAGCATGGGTCTAAGTCTCTGGGTGATGCCATATAATGTTTCCTTCTATGGGAGCCCATGAGGACAAAACACATTTACTGATTTGTAACAAACGGTTAGAAAACTTTCACCATTCATAAATGTTGTTTTACACATTTACCTCTTCACTTGTTGCCAGTGATAAAGAGAGTCTGATGCGCTGGTTATTTTGCTGGAGGTTGAACGATCTGACAAAGTACTCGTTCAAATATTTTGCTCCCAGGGATTTTTGACTCTAATGGCTATCTGTTGGTAAGGTCTTAACCCTAACCCTTGTTTGCAGTGGTTTATGTATGTACTGCCCCCTATTGCCAGGGTAAATACACACCATCTCTTTAAGATGGAATTTTATTATTTTTTTTACCAAATGGTTTCTTTTTTTAAGATTTAACTGTAAAGAAAAAACATCTATTTCTGCATTTATATTTATTAGGGATGCAGTGGTAGCATAAATATTGTCGGTAATAAATATAAATGCTGGTATCAGTAAAAGTTAACTGATACCAGGAACTGATACCATTGCCGTTGCTTGAAAGGAGCATCACTGTAACTTGTCATTTAGGTTCACCTTTTTAGATTTGTGATCATATCTAGTTATAGATTACATTTTTTTATTTACCTCACTGTCTTTTCCTGTTGAAAGCAGAGAAGAAAATAAAACCTGTATTATAATTCATTGTATTGTTTTGTGTGGTAGAAGTATCGGTATCCGTAATCGGTATCGGCGAGTACTCAGATCCAAGTATCGGTATCGTATTGGTCTGGAAAAAAGTGGCATCGGTGCATCCCTAATATTTATCATCACAGCCATGACAATGACTTCAACAAGATGGCATATAAAAAACAAACCAAGTGCAATAGCCAAACGGACTGTGTGCCTTTCAGTTAAGAAATGAAATCCACAAGAGGGGAAGTAGTAGACATGTTTGCCTGAAGTGGAATTCAAAAGCAAGAAACATATTCCCTTTAACAGATTTATGATGAATGTATCTTCTTTGCTGACTTTTAAGCCAACAATTTAACCATTATATTTTTCTAAACTTTAAAGCAGCTGCTCCACAATCCCATACGTTGCATCTGTACTTTTAACAATTATAAAAATATACTGTAATCACCAGAAATATATTTGATTAGCTTGATTCCACATAAATGACCAAGTTAGTGATTCAGGTTTCTGCGTTCGATCGCAAACCAAACACAACGCTGAAAGATAAAACTGGTTCTAAAACTAAAGCGATTTAAATCTATTTCCAGCGTAACAAGCATTTAAATGCAATAATTATCAAAATGCAAACACTTTTCCCACAAAAGCCAGCATGTTATAAACTGCAGACGGTTAGGTGGAGTCTGGAGCTGTTTTTCTGCAACCGTGTGTGAAATGAAAGGAGAGACTCATGTGTTACTATGTCTTCTCTGGTGTTAGCTTGTTGGTGGAAAAGAGAATGGCAAGAAAAAGTACAGATTCAGCCTGGTCCTTGCAGCTCGCCTGTCAGCTGCCTCCGCATCTCCAGCCGAGGCAGAGTCTGGGAACTTAGACTCACAACGGCGGGCAGCTCTGTCAGACATGTAGACGCAGCGTTGCAGGACACTCTTTGTTTCACCTCTGAGGCTGATGCTGCAGCCGTTTGGAAACACCTCCAGCTCTCCTTGAATGGATGTTGCATATTGGTCATTTTCTTTATTTGAGTCACACTGCAGAAGCCTTCTTTCTTTCCTCGTGCAGCAACCTGTCAGCTTCAGGCTTTGCTCTTTCTCACGCTGCTCCGTGTCTGGCTCCCACATCAAACCAGAGAAACACAACACCAGAAAACACCCGGTTACTCTGCAGCACCGGAGATTTAAAGAAGGGTCTCAGCTGAGGTGCAGCGTCTCTGCAGGGATTAAAAACTCAATCGCGAACATCTTCCATGTCTCTGCATTTGTTAAACTGGCAGCTTTTATTGTTATTTGGAACACTTGAAGCAGTAGAAACTTAAGTAAACACCTTCTGGCGCAGACAAGCAATTGGCATCTTCTCACCACTTTAACTGCATCGTTGACAGAAAATCTCAACCTAGTCTGGGAATTAAGCTCAAATTTCAGTGTGTGCACGTGTGGCTGTGCAGTATTAATCTGTTAAACAAAGGAGATGTGGGAGTAGGGCTGCATCAGATAGAGGCGTATATGTAAACAAAAACCAGCAGCAGTAAATTCAGAACGATGCCGATAAGACCCAGCAGAGCCAGGAATCTCTCCTCTGGTGTGCTCGGATTTGGGCACATCAGTTCCATTCAAAACCTTTAGTGGGAGTTTAACTGATTAAACTTATTAAACCTGTGATGTTGGTGTAGATTTATAGACACCCAATAACTCAAAACACTGATTTATGCTTTTTTACCAACAATAAAAGTTTTAATTGTGAGATTTCCTTCCTCCTCATCTCTTGGTTTGTTCCAACCATTCATGCAATTGCTTCATAAATTTAATCTGGCAGTGATATTATTCTAAAGGTCACAAATAATAAAAATGAAATAAATGGAAACGCGTATAAAAGACACTTTTCACGAAAAATGGGTGATGCAGAAAGCTTTTCTGTAGAAAGATATCAATAGCTGATCAATGCTACCGGCAGTCATTTAAAATCAGTTTGCAGCAATACTATTTAGTATTAACAGTGCAAAATGTCCTCACCAGCTTTACCCTCCAGGCTGCAGAAGGAATGAGGCAGATTTGTAAAGCTCTCCAGGTGAACAGGCGGCAAACAGATGTGGTCAAACCTCTCAGGTTCATGAAAGACAAACGGTGGCATGGTGAGGCAACTTTTCCACCGGCATTTCTCGCTGAAGTCTTGCAGAAAACCTCAAGTGACGGAGGTGTAGATGTAGACAAATATGACCACTAACAGATTAAGGATGGTCCCGATGATGCCCAGCACAGCTAAAATCCGCTCCTCGCGGTCGTTAGTGGAGTCATCCTCTCTTGCGTGAGAGCTGCAGACATAGTGGCCGCCGGGGATCATGGTTACCATCACAAGACCCCACCGCGAGAGGGCAAGACGCCTGTGGGGACGGGAGGAAACGGGTGGGAGGGTGAAGAGGAGAAGAAATAATAGATGAATTACTTTGAACTCAGACATGGATATTACACTTTGTGCAAGATTTATACCTCTTTGAAACATTAAATGATGAATTAAAAATCGAAGTTTTGGAACTTTGAAGTCTCTGCGTTTATATAACAATTGAAAAAAATATTAAGATAAACGTTTTATACCAAAGTGAAATTTGCATTTGCCAACTGCAGTACATGAATCATCCACCAGAGCGCAGCAGACACAAATAGAATTTAATAGGTTTATGAGGAAAGTACTAATCCTGTTAAAGAGAAAGAGGTCTTAAAACATTAGAAATAAAACTTTATCCGCTGCAGAGTTAACCGATCAAAAGATTGTCCTAATTTCAGCTAAACTCAGATAAAAAAAAAAATGAAATAACTGCAGTCTGTGAAAGCCATCTATCTCGTTTGCTTTTTAATTCAATTCAATTTTCTTTTTTATCACAAGCTCTGGTAGTGTGGTGTATGTTGAACATTCAGAATGCTAATGAGGAAATTATCTGCAGCCCTCTGAGACAGTTTGAGAGCACACAGAGAAAACTGGTGAGAGTATCGCATGCATAAAGATGTTTTAAGCATTCATTGGTAAAAGTGGGAGGCTACATGGCTAGGATAAACTGCAGACCAAGGTAGTGGTGATAGATCTCAACTTATAGTAACATCAGGAAGAAAAATGAGAAGCTCAAGAATCGCAAAACCTGTAAGAATA